TAGTTTCCCTAAGCCCTACCTCACAATAGGCAATTTTATCCAGGCCGGACTGCAGCTTCGACCTCGTCCTTGCCTCATCATTACCTCCAGTTGAATTCAATACCTGGTCATTAGTATCGTGACGATATAACCAGTTCACTGCACAGCTGATGCATCCTAGGGCAAATGCACAATTCAGGGCAAACCAGGCCTCTCCTAACTTACAGTTATAGTATGATTGGTGATTAAGCAAACATGTTTTAGCCTTTGCTCTTTATACATTAAATTAGTCCATAAAAGTTTCTCTTCAAGGCATCTTTCGATTTTAAATTGGTGAACTCACTTCCAATTAGAGTGAAATTGTGTAGTGACGAGATCTTTCTTGACAAGCTGAGATTTGTCTGCTTAAAGCTGTTTTTGAGGCAATTTCCTTCGTCTTTGGTGGGGACTTGCTAACTTTTTGTGTATCATGTAATATACAGTATCATAACAAAACTAATTTTTTTCACATTGTCGTTGAGTAGGTTTCAATAATATTATGGGAACATTCGAATATCATTGCTTCATCACATAGGATAAATACTGCTTTTATCTAAACTTCTTGGCTCATTCGCTAAATTAGCTGTAAGAATGATGACAGACACACTAAGACTCAGCACGTTTCCACCCAAATAGGGGGAGCTTTCCTTGAGGACAACATCAAAAATAAGGATCTGGTAAAACCAAATGACCCCGAGGTGCTGTTTGTTGAGAGCTCTCTTTAAGATAAGCTTAACAACGAGCTAAGTATATGAAATGTCATAATTATGACGGCCGGGCCTGATTCAGAATTTAGAAAATGTCTGCTTCCAAAGTGGAACAGCCTAGAGGTACCAGATTCAGGGCGAAAAGAACAAGCTCTACTTAGAGACAGCCAAACAAGTGCTCATAGTAGAGGATCAATGCGAAGATGAGGTGTTGTGCCGCTGTGGCCGCATACAAACTACACATTCTGGCCTATTTTTGTCAATGAAGATGCACCGAAATGTCAGAGGCCACTAGCGGTAAGGGCGTAGTAGAGGCGGCACTGGACACTGTCTGAGCAGATGGATGGTGTGAAAAAGCCTCAGGATGCCTGTGAATCAGATTACTTCATGCCTGACACGACTGCGTGCAAAGAAAAAAAGGTTTGCTTCATCAAAACCCGGCTCTCGGTTGCTAGGGCCTGTCGAGGCTGGGGGTGAAATGCTAAAGTTCCTCCTGTGCACGACTGCTGGTCTGAGGGCTGGGCGGGAGCCTAACTCTAAAGCGGGAGGAGTGAGGTCAAATGTCATGGTTTGGCCGTCTGACCTGGGCCTCCGACCGGTTTTATGTGACGAATGTTGAGGCCAAAGACCTAATAGAACGCAAAAACAATGCCGTCTAAAAAGAGGGTTATTCAGAAACTTCTTGTATCCAACTGATTTAACGGATACCCGTTATGTGCAAGGCTATTCTCAAGCCTTAGCGACGAACAATAGACAATCTTTACGCATAAGAATGACTCGCTCTTGCCTTTTTTAATAACTTGGGAGTTAAGCCAATTTTTAAGGAAAATAGTTTGAGTTTTATTCCTAAAATGTGTTGAATGAGATTAGTGTTCGAAGATTGGCCTTATTTAAAGAAAATTTATTAAAAATCATC